TCCAATCAAAAATCGGACTCCTTTATTCCGAAAATACTTTTGAGAAGCCGCCATGCTCTCTCGGTACGAAGAGTACTGCCGTAGTGATTGGAAGATCCCTCCCAACCGGCCACCTCAATTCTCATCACTTTGGTTCTTCTTCAATGAAAAATTCAATTCCTTTCTTCTAAAAATTTTTTGAGAAGCTGCCATGCTCTCCGGTCCATGGAGTTCCGTGGTTGTAATTGGAAGGTTATTTCCTCCCATTATTTCCTGCCTGGTGACTTTTTTCTAAAAGCTGTCATGCCCTCCGGATCCGTAGGGTACGGTGGCACTGATTGAAAGTTTGAACTTCTTTCATCTGAAAATTCCTTTGAGGAGGCGCTATGCTCTTCGGCTCCATAGATCACTGTCGTTCTGACTAAAAGGACCCTTCTAGCCGAATTCCTCAATTCAACCACATTTATTCCCTTTAATTCTAAAACTGAATTCCTTTTCCCTAAAATTCGCTTCAGGGTTTTCCTCTTAAAATTCATTGTCAGAGGCCTCTCCGTGTCGGTGTGGTACTGTCAAAGTGATTGGAAAAACTACTTCTGCCAGAATAACACTTTGAAAGAGAGAGAAAGAGAGAAACACTAAATCATATTGATGCTTTCCAACTAAAAAAGCGATTCTCTACCTCAAAATTCTTATATAAAATTTGTCGTGCTCTCCGACTCCGTGGAGTAGTAGCAGAGATTGGAAAGAGAGGACTTCTCCGAGCTGGACGTAAAAATTTAGCAAAATGATCATGGCTGCCACTTATTTTTAAAACCAAAATCCTTTCGGGAGACTTCCTTTGTGCATCGATGACTATACCTACTCAAGCTGAAAACTATGCAGATACGTTATTGCTGCATTATTTTCCGCGTGTATTGAAGTAGTTGTTCATTGATGAATTTAATTTCGGACACTTCAAGAAATGGAGGCGCAAATATGGCGTGGTCGACTCAGGAGCCGTCGCACCAGCCATGAGCCTCATAGTGCCTCCACACAGGAAGAAATTCACTTTGTAGGAGAGGATATAATGGGCACTGGCACCATCTCAGCAGGTGATTAATATTGTTGACTTTTCCAATTTTGTAGGATGCGCCTAACTTACTGGCTTGCTTCATTCAATGTTTGGAGTGGTCGACTGAGGGGTCATCGCCCCAGCGATAGACGGCAGAGTGTTTCTCCTCAGAAAAAACCCCATGATGCGGGAGCGTACGCTTCAATGGAAATTGATGCTGCACCAGGAGGTACTCCGTGTCTAATCATTTTGTCTATTTTTTCGATATTGGGTATTTTTCATCAGGTTCACCCAAGTGTAGCGTTTAAGTGAGAGTGCTGCAGTTTGAACAGGCACATTATCGAAAGTGCACAGTTAGAATCAGCCCAATCACTTATCGTGTTTGTAAGATCATACAGTTGTGCTCTTTCAAGTACTAAAAGTTCATCGCGCTAATTACTGCGTGTGAAAGTAAGCTCATTATTGTTGGTAGAATTACCCATACACAATACGACTTTTCACACTTTTCTTCATTTTCTATTGCACCCGCTTTTCTTCACGTTTTCCGTTCATTCCTTCACAATGCATATTTGATCAGCTTATGATGAGCTTATTTTTCCCAGCAATCTTTATAAGCGAAAAGCAGGGCGGATCTTTTTTACATTTATTCTCTTTTGCCCGTAAGGGATGGAGGCCACCTTGATACCTTGGATCCATCCCAGCGAGGTCGAGCGTCAAAGAAGAAGACGTTAGAATGAATCTTCGCAGGAACGGGATGCACGCTTACGGAGGGATGTCTCTCGCCGTCAGCAAAGGCGCGTCAGAGAAACCGTTCAGGAGCGAAGTGACAGATTGCGGCAGCTATCACAACGCCAACAGCTGTGTGAACAAGAAAGCCGTGACGAACGAGCTGCACGACGCAGGCGAGACGCGGAACGCCACCGGCAAATGCGAGCACGAGAAAGCAGTGAGGAAAGTGCTGCGCGAGGAAGGGAAGATGTTGAACGTCCACGACGGATGCGCGAACGAGAAGGTAGCGAAGAAAGGCGTGTTCGTCTTGCGAGTGATGCTGAGCGTCACCAAATGTTGCGCAATCCATCGTCCAGAGTGCTTGGAGCAACCACGAGGAATCGCTTCGCAAAATCCAGTTACCTGGTGTTTCGGACTATGTTTATGAGCATTGCGGCGCGCAACATTTCCTCTGTGAAGTCAAGCCTCAGCATCCGGAGCTATTTTTCGGGTGCTGAGACTTGAGCGCTTCAATTTGGATTTCTTTGGAGAATTTCCGGACAGATTACGTCGACTTTACGTTCAAAACCCAACGCACACTGATAACGAGCAGCGAATTAGAGAAATTTTTTTGAAAACGTTAGAAGGTTCAATTCTGCACTGGCATTGGCGTCAATGGGAGCGCAAATTGACACCATAAGAGGACGTGGGCCGTATTGTTATAGAATACATGGCCAAATTTACCACCAGATAGGACCCCTCCATCGGAAAGAAGGAGAGTAACGTCACTATGGACAAACTTATATACTGGATACAGAAATGGCTGCTGACCATCGTCTTGGAGGCCCAAGGAATGTGGGCTGTGACTCCGATTTGATGCATTCCCTAAGCGAGCTGCTGTCACAAGTCAACGTCTATGCACAGTCTTTCAAGATGATGAGCAAAATTGAGCAGGCCGAAATTGCAGCCGCAACAAGAGAACATCGTGCTCCTCTCAATATCCGGATGGTATTCGAGAGGCAGTGAGAGCGGACTGAGGCGCCGCCGGTACGATTGCCTACGGTCATGAAGTCGCAGTTATATATGTGGGGGAGAATGATGACGTGCCGCCTACGAGGAGTTCGGCAGTTCATCTTTGGAACACCTCTGAAGAACAACTCCAGAATATACGCGACATTGACAAGATAGGCGATCCTCTCACATACCCTCTTCTCTTTTCTACTGGAGATAGGATGGGAGCCATCCATGACTAAAGAGAATGGTCTCCGGCTCTCACAACGAGAGTACTACGAGTATCTGCCTTCAGTGAAGGACCAATTCAATCCCATTCTCCACGCTGGAAAGCTCTTCCAGCAGTTCGCAGTCGACGCTTACGTCAAAATAGAGCATAATCGGCTCAACTTTACGAGAAAGAATCGGCTCAGACTGCCATCGGACTCGTACGAAAGTCTGCAGGATTATCTGGCCGGTGAGGACTAGCCCGTGTCATTTTACCGTCGTCCTTTTCGGTGGACCACGCTCAGCAGCATAATATCAGAACGCAATGGCTATAGTTGCACGTCATGGTAAGCCAACTTACTTCCTGACGATGACGTGCAATCCACATTAGAAGGGAATCCAAGAAAATCTCTTCAGTGAACGAGCAGCGTCGAATCGTCCCGATGTGGTGGCGCTGGTGTTCAACGCCAAGTTGCAGAAACTTTGCTTCGAACTCTTCAAAACACATGTTTTTGGAGAAGTACAAGCCTGTGTGTGTGTGATTGAATCTCAAAAGCGAGGTCTTCCACATTGCCACATGCTACTCATAATGAAAGAAGAGTGGAGAGTGCGTACGGCGGACGATGTGGACAGATCAATTTGTGCGGAGATCCCTAACCCTGCAGAAGAACCGGTACTTCATGCTGCTGTAATGTCGTACATGATCCACAGGCGATGTGGACAGAGGGACTTTCTTTGTACGCCACCCAATGGATCGTGTTCAAGAAGATTTCTGAAGCAAATAAGGGAGAGTACCTCAAAGGACGTGGATGGCTACTCGAACTACCGACGCCGGAACCTGTATCCCTCCGAAATCAGTAATGTTTTATACGGCGACCAGTGGGTAGTACCATCAAACCCGTACCTTCTTGCGAAATCCGATTGTCATGTGAATTTGGAGGTTTGCGGCATGATCTCGGCGGTAAAGTACCTCTACAAGAATGTATACAAGGGCCCCAATCGTGCCCGGATCAATATCGAAGGCAGTCGAAATGGAAACGAAACAACGAATGTCGATGAAATCAAACAACACTTGGATACTCGCTATGGGTGCGCCCCAGAAAGCATGTACAGAATATATACCTTATACTTTATACTTATACTTTCTATACTTTTTTAGTTGGAATACCTGATTCCTTGACCGCACTGGCATGCCACCTCATGGGCTGCGTCTCGAGAGAGGGGCAGTAGTTATGCTTCTGAGAAACCTCCATGTTACTAATGGACTTTTTAATGGAACACGACTGAGAATCGGGACACTAGGACGTTTCGCACTCGGTTGCAAATTCATCTGCGGAGACAGAGCAAACGAACTTGTGGAAAAAACGAGTCCCCTTTCGCTTTCGCAGACGACAATTCCCTGTGCGAGTAGCCTTTGCAATGACAATTGATAAAGCACAAGGGCACTCTTTCAACAAAGTGGGTGTATATCTTCCACAGAATGTTTTTTCTCACCGTCAATTACGCGTTGCTCTCTCGCGTGCGAAGACTCTCAGTGGAATAAGGATCAATTAATCTGAAAATGCAATCAAGAACATCGTATCTCCTGAAGCTCTACTATGATCATTCTTAGGTAGGAGCAATATTAGTGCTTTCACATGACGAGATTATTATCGAAATTGCAGAAACGAGAACTTTACCAGAATCACATTTCTTCGTCAAAATCCCAAGACGCTGTTCATTCTCCTCTATAAAGTTAGCTATTTTGCCAGAATTCGACTTTCTCCACTTCACACACTTCAGCATGTCAGAAGAGCAACCAACACTTCACATGCCATGATATGATATCAATTCCCCAGAATCTACATTGTATTTCAGTACCAACAAATCTGTCCAGTTTGCCGTTATTTCGCCTGCACACAAGATACTTCTCATTATTCTTCTATAAAGTGAGTGTTCACTGGATATGGGTTTTAATTTGCATTTTTAAAATTTTTCATGAGCTCATCGGAGTAACTCACTATACAGCAACGCTCCAGTCAATTTTTCGCAAAGTAAAAATTGCTCTATTCTAGCATCAACATCCACATCGCCGCCTTTTCGCCTGCACAAAAGAGACTTCTCATTGTGCCCTTTCATGTGGATGTCCACAAACTCCAGTTTGAATTTTTAAGCTTTCTTGAAATTCTTTTGGGGTCACTCGTCCCCAAAAAATCAGAATCGATTTCTACTTCAGCTTCAAGATCTCGCTCCACATCGCTGTCATTTCGTTTGTACACCGCAGGCTTTCCGATGCCTTCTCTGAAGCGGATGTCCACTGAATGTAAAATTTATTTTGCATTTAGGAGCTTTCTCAAGTCTCCAAGGGTCAGTAACTACACAGTGACGTTCCAGTCATTTCCTATATGTCACGATTGCCCTACTTTAGCGTCAACATCGCCCTCTACGCCTCCGCCATTTTGCCTGCATAAAATAGACTTGCCATTGTCTTATCTTGAGTGGGTGTCCCGTAGCTGTAAGTTCCAATATGGATTTTTTAAGTTTTCTCAAAAGTCTTTCAGGATCAGTCTTCCATGGAACATCAAAATTGAACTCTACTCCAGCATCGACTTACCTCTCCATGTCGTCCATATTCCGCCTGTATACCAGAGACTTTCCATTTTCTCAAGTGGGTGTACACCAGACGATGAAGTGATTTTGCACTTTAGCTTTCTGAAGGGTCTTTTAGGGTCACTATCCAAGATGTCAGACTTGCTTTACTTAGCATCAACATCGCTCTCCACATCGCTTCCCTTTCGCCTGCACACCAGAGATTTTCCATTCTTCTCGATGTCCAGTGGATGTAAAAAATTTCTGCGATTTTTCAGCTTTTCAAAAATCTTCAAGATCAGCCTCTCCCAAAACATCAAAACTTATCTCTATTTCAGCAATCACGCCTCTATTCATATTTCGTCGTTTTTTCGTCATCATAGAGAGAACCTCCAGTCATTTTTGCTAAAGTGGGTGTCCACTAGCAGTAAATTTCATTTTGCATTTCTTACAAGGAAGGTTTTTCAGGGCGTGGAACGCTTTTCGAAAACGGTTCTTTGCATGATATAGGGGCATGAGCAGAGTATAGAACTATGGTCCATTTCCGCTAAATGGCCTTTTGAATACCAAAAAAGGGGTCAAAAAAATTGTCAAAAATTGCCGTTTTAACCTACTGAGCGCCGTTTGTTTCATTCATGGCGTCGACTGCTCGCACAGTGGAAGGCGCCAGTGGACTGCGCACTGAAAATAACGTGAACGGTAGCCAAAAAAGGGACCCACATGTTGAAACACGTTGGAAAGTGCCGGGAAGTTTCATATGTGCTCTCCACGGTTATGCACCCAGCAGCGTCGGACGGTCTTCTGGTTAGCGATATGGACTTCGAGTTGGGACGGCTAGGCTGGGTTGGTGGTTCAAATCCTCAGGCTATAACCATGACCAGTCAGGCGCTTGTTTTGGCCCTGGTGTAATATGGAGCCAATCTGGAGGTGGCAGCACAAAATGCAAAAAGGGCAACGCCCCGAGAACTTGAACCATCAACCCAGCCTCTCCGCCCCAACTCGAAGTCCACATCGCTAACCACCACACCATCCGTCGCTGCCAGCTACTCAACCGCGGAGAGCACATATGAAATCTCCCCTCTCCCACTCTTCAACATGTTTCAACATGTGGGTCCCTTTCTCTTGGCTACCGTTCACGGTATTTTCAGTGCGCAGTCCACTGGCGTATTCTATTGTGCGAGCAGTCGACGCCATGAATGAAACAAACCACGCCTAGTGGGTTAAAACGGCAATTTTTAACAAAATTTTTTTCACCTCTTTTTAGGCATTCAGAAGGCCATTTCGGAAATGAACCATAGTTCTATACTAAGTGCTCATGCCCCTATACCATGCAAAAAACCATTTTCGAAAAGCGACCACGCCCTGAAAGAACATCCTTGTTAGACTTTATGTCCACTAGCAGTAAATTTCATTTTGCATTTCTTAGACTTTAAAAGTTGTTCGGTTCAGACTTTCCCAGGACATCAAAGTTGATCTCTATTTCAGCATCGCCATCTTTCTCCACATCGCTTCCATTTCGCCTGCACACCAGAGATTTTCCATTCTTCTCGATGTCCACTGGATGTAAAAAAATTGTGCGATTTTTTAGTTTTTTCAAAAATCTTTTAAGATCAGCCTCTCCCAAAACATCAAAACTAAACTCTATTTTAGCAAAAACATCTCTGTCCATATTTCGTCGTTTTTTCTTCAGCACAAAAGGACCCTCCAGTCGTTCTTGCTGAGGTGAGTGTCCACTAGCAGTCAATTTCATTTTGCATTTATTAGAATTCAGAAGTTGTTCGGCTCAGACTTTCCCAAAACATCGAAGTTGATCTCTGTTTCAGCATCAACATCCTTCTCCACATTGCCGCCATTTCGCCAGCACACCAGAGTCTTCCAATTGTCCCCTCTTAGGCGAGTGCCCACTAACTTTGGTTTCATGCTGCAAGTTTTTAGCTTTCTGAAAGCCTTTCGAGATCACACCTAACGAAGCGACGTCCCTTCTGATTTCAAAATATCAGAATCGAACTATTCTAGCGTCAACATCGCTGTCTACATCGCCGCCATTTCGCCTGTACAAAGCGACCTTCCGCCATTCTCCCGAAGTGGGTGTCCACTTGCTGTACATCCCATAATGCAATTTTTGACTTTCTCAAATGTCTTTCGAGGTCATTGCTAAAATGTCAGAAATTCGTTCGAGCACCCACTCCACACAGTGTATAATTTCCTGGAGTGGCACAACAGAATTCTATTTTATCCACGCCTCTGCCAACTTCGTCGTCATTTCGCGTATCTACAAGAGACTTCTCTCCATGCCCTCCTTTCACGAATACCACACGTATTCGGCGATAATCCTGATACAAATTCCATATCATCTGGATGAAACTACAAATATATGATGTTTTATTCTCCTATTTTTATTTTCGAGATTGGTTCAAAACGTAGAGTGTAGGAAGGTGCACGATGATCCTACTTATTGTGAAGCGCTTCGTCTGTCGCTATGTATGTCTATCACAAAATCCATAGCTCCTTTGGATTTTCCTAGAAAGACTGGGTCAAGCGTGGGATGGCTGGGGGGCCATGTACCGAGAAGTATAAAGCACACATTAGCTTGGCGGAACCCCGCCCACAGTGGGCGTGGCGTGCATCGAAAAAGGGCTGTACTGAGGACCATGATTTCAAATTCAGTCACAAGACGGCTTCAAAACTGGGGTGTAAGGGTGGCAGAGGTGTGCATTGGTAAGTTAGATCGAATGAGCGAGGCTTACATCAAAATTATTAAGTCTCTTCAGAAGCGTTTTAGATCGCGGGAAAAAGGTGTCTGGAGATAATAAATGTAATGCGGCTCGAAGTTTGAAGTGGGTGGGGTTTGCAAAGAGGGGACGGGGCTGCGATCAAAAATTTATACATCTGTCCTTCACACTGACCCGAGGTTTACATCTAAAAGATACCACTAAACTCTTTCAAAAATTAGGCTGAAAATTCTCCAAAAGTTAGTATCCAGTTCCACACACAGTAGTCTCTTCTACCCAAGAGCAAATGCGTGTAAGTGTAAATGTAAAGACGTGTAAATCCCTATAACTACCCAAAATGGCTTTTTTTTCCAAAGTTAGTGTTCATGGCCACATACAGCCCAAACTACACAGTGTTTCTTTGGACTGCAGAGGTATTTGATTTGGATTTATCGTAGTACTCTTCATGGCCATACACACCTCCGTTTCACATCCCAAAAAGATGATGGCCGCTACAGAAGTGTCGGGGAGGTGGCTCAGATGATAAAGGTCTATAATGAAAATCAGAAGCTCATGTGGCTCCGTCCTTTGTGGCTAGAGCCCTCAGTACACGCGATAGCGCGCGAAGCCGCCTGGTTATTTATGCGATATTAATAGTCGTAGAAAAAGACTCTAATGTATGAGCGTTTCGTAGAGTGCCAAGAAGGATTTGAGGTAAACATTTCGAATTCACTTAACGGGAACGATAAGTCCATACTCTTGGATAAGGAGTTGTTTTGGATTAAACTCCTCACACTTTTACCCCTTTAGACTTAATGATAATATAAAAGCGTATGGCAATATAAGCAATAAACGTACATCTAATACATTCAAATCGAACCCTTCTATTTTTGCATTCAGAATTACCAAACTTACCAGGGAAGGATCCCAAGTCGAAGTGGCTATTTGAAATGAGATCTACACTGCTAGACGTATTTTTGGATGCTGAACTCAAATCTGCTTTCCAAATTTGCTGAGCGTTTCTCCAAACAGAGTTATGAGAGTGGTTTCAGGGAGCTTAACTTGAGAAAACTTAAATTACATGGATGTTCTTCAGCTGTCAACGGCGGCTTGGTGTAGTGGTAAGCGTGACGCTTTACAGGCGAGAAGCTAGGGATCGGGTTTTTTGGGAGACGGAGTTTTGCATTACATAGAATTTTTCCGTAAAGGACTAGAAAATACTCTTATGGTGAGATTATCACGTTTTATGACCTTTTAATGCCTNTGCTGATACCTCCTCCTACCTACCTGTTACCGAGTTGGAGATTCCTATGTGCGCAGAATTTGGAGGTACGGGAGGGAAAATGCATATGATGAGCAATGATGATGCTAGAGTGGGTGCTGTTGCTAGATTGGGTGCGATGTGCATAATACGTTGCTCCGGACTTACCAACACCGCGCTGGTGATAGTGGACTCGAAGACCAGAAAGCTATTTAGTGCACCTTAAATACACAAAAGCAGGTGAAGGGATTGACACCCTGCTCGAGGCTACTACGAAGCTATTGCAGCCACATAAAAGCTTATTTCTCATTTCTTTTTAAAAATATGGTCAAACGCACCACCTCATATGAAATAGCTCATAATCTCAACTTTTACGTGCACACACGAGGCCCCATTCCTCGCTCACTGTCGCTTGTCCACTTTCAGTTCTGTCCGGCTAGATTCAGGAAATTTCTCATATATTCACGGTATGCCGTCGGCTACTTAAGCACTCACCCGGGTGATTTTGGGACGCCTACACAATTCTGTTTTCCTTCCCATTTGGGCTTCGTAAGTGTAAAGCAATAAACTGTGACGAGTTCTTTTACATCCGTTGCTCCTATTGTGAGAAGCTTTTTTGTTTCAAGCTTTGCGTACTAGAGTATCACATTTGTTCATTCAAGTGACAAAAGTTATCCTACTGTGAATATGGAGTGCATGGGCATGCGAGTAAAACTGATGTATCACTTCATGAGGGTAAATATCAGTAAAAGCATTAAAAGGTCATAAAACGTGATAATCTCACCATAAGAGTATTTTCTAGTCCTTTACGGAAAAATTCTATGTAATGCAAAACTCCGTCTCCCAAAAAACCCGATCCCTAGCCTATCGCCTGTAAAGCGTCACGCTTACCACTGCACCAAGCCGCCGTTGACAGCTGAAGAACATCCATGTAATTTAAGTTTTCTCAAGTTAAGCTCCCTGAAACCACTCTCATAACTCTGTTTGGAGAAACGCTCAGCAAATTTGGTAAGCAGATTTGAACTCAGCATCCAAAAATACGTCGAGCAGTGTTGGTCTCATTTCAAATGGCCACTTCGACTTGAGATCCTTCCCTGGTTAGAACAAACGGAGATAGTAAAAAATGCAAAAAGAAAAGAAAAGAGGGTGGAACTGATGGAGTTCTTAAGACTTTTATAGAAGAAGAAAATAACTTCTCCTCTACAGGTTACTATAGACTTCTCAAAAGTATCCCATATAAAAATAATAAAGCTCGTTGACCATTTGTAAACAGCGTCGCGTTACGCAACGCGTTGTGATTCTGCATAATAATTTCCCAATACTGAAAGTACTCGCGATGGCTAGCTCTGAATTTCCTATCTATCTACCCTTTCTAAGAACTGGATGTCAAATTGGTGGACTCGCTCCACCAATAGAAACTATGGCATCGAACATATTCTAGGTCCGGTCGCCCAGCCACCGTCGATCGACAAGGCGTTCTGGATGCTCTGGACGATGAACCGACGTCGTCCTTGCGCTACTTAAGCAAAGTCACACGG